GAAAATGTCTAATTCAATGGATCCTGTGGATGAAATCCCCAAACACCAGTAATTTTTTTTTTTTTTTTTTTTTTTGAGACGGAGTCTCACTCTATCACTCAGGCTAGAGTGCGGCCTGATCTTGGCTCACTGTAACCTCCGGCCCCCAGGTTCAAGTGATTCTCCTGCCTCAGCCTCCCAAGTAGCTGAGGAGTACAGGCACCTGCCACCACACCCAGCTAATTTTTTGTAGTTTTAGTAGAGATGGAGTTTTGCCATGTTGGCCTGGCTGGTCTTGAACTCCTGACCTCAAATGATCCACCTGCCTCGGCCTCCCAAAGTGCTAGGATCACAGGTATGAACCACCACCGTGCCCGACTTAAATATTATTATTATTATTATTATTTTTTTTTTTTTTTTTTTAGACAGTTTCACTCTTGTTGCCCAGGCTGGAGTGCAATGGTGTAATCTCAGCTCATTGCAACCTCTGCCTCCTGAGTTCAAGCGATTCTCCTTCCTCAGCCTTCTGAGTAGCTGGGATTACAGGCACCCACCACCACGCCCAGCTAATTTTTGTATTTTTAGTAGAGACGGGGTTTCACCGTGTTGGACAGGCTGGTCTCGAACTCCTGATCTCAAGTGATCTGTCCGCCTCTGCCTCCCAAAGTGCTGGAATTACAGGTGTAAGCCACTGTGCCCGGTCCTAAATATTATTTATATATATATAAGCAGGTACATTTATAGGGTATGGTCCTCGCCCCTTCCCAGTGGTCTCCAAGTGGGGTGGGCTAGACAACCTGCAGCAGTGAAAAAGTGATGAGAAAATCTACTTGTAAGTATTTTTCTTTAAAAATGCGAAAAAAATGGCTTCACTGATATTTCTGTCTGTTTCCTGCAGGGACAGGGTCTCAGTCACACACTGTTATCCAGGCTGGAATGCAGTGGTGTGATCCTCCTGCCTCAGCCTCCTAAGTAGCTGGGACTACAGGTATGCACCACCACACCTGGCTTTTTTTTTTTTTTGTAGAGACAGGTCTCACTATGTTGCCCAGGCTGGTCTCAAACTCCTGAGCTCAAATGATCCTCCTGCCTCAGCCTCCTAAGTAGCTGGGACTACAGGTATGCACCACCACACCTGGCTTTTTTTTTTTTTTTTTTTTTTGTAGAGACAGGTCTCACTATGTTGCCCAGGCTGGTCTCAAACTCCTGAGCTCAAATGATCCTCCTGCCTCAGCCTCCTAAGTAGCTGGGACTACAGGTATGCACCACCACACCTGGCTTTTTTTTTTTTTTTTTTTTTGTAGAGACAGGTCTCACTATGTTGCCCAGGCTGGTCTCAAACTCCTGAGCTCAAATGATCCTCCTGCCTCAGCCTCCTAAGTAGCTGGGACTACAGGTATGCACCACCACACCTGGCTTTTTTTTTTTTTTTTTTTTGTAGAGACGGGTCTCACTATGTTTCCCAGGCTGGTCTCAAACTCCTGAGCTCAAATGATCCTCCTGCCTCAGCCTCCCAAAGTGCTGGAACTACTGGCATGAGCTACCATACCCTGCCAGCTTTACTGATATTTAGTACTTGGACAGACCCTGGTGTTCACGCTGGCTTGTATGTCAGCAGCTGTGGCATCCTGACTTAGGAGGAGGCACCCTGTGACGTGGGAGGTGATGGTGGGCCCTCACCGCAAGTCTACTTTAGGCATCTTAGGCATGTTGGAGTTTACAAGTTTCATGGTATTCCAGTTGTGGTCAATTAAAACAAACAAACAAACAAACAAAACAAAAAAACTCAAGACCCTTAAAATAATGAAAGCTTTACAATATTTCGCAGTGATGCGGAAAATGACCATGAATATCTTTTGTGTGACTTGGAGGTTTACTGGTCATTTCATGACTTAGTACTTCAAAGAGTCAGAAAATTTAAGGAGAAGGTACAGATTTTCTTTTGTGAAAAGTTCCAAATCTGGAGATATTTTTTCGTTTTTAATGACAAATGACTGCAGCAGTGTGTCATCTACCTTTTTTCTTTTAAATAGACACAATGCAATCTGTTCCTTCAAAGAAAAGGTGACAATATATGAGTTACAGCTTTTCAAAAAGAATCCGTACCAAGAATAGAGCATTTGTGAAAACAGACATTTGAAGAGGTTTCCACAATGACGTGACTGCGTTCCCAATGATGCTACAAGCATACTGTCTACATGAACATTTACACCCGCACATCAAAACATCAACACCAGAATTTCCACCTACCCTGACAGTCACTGAACATACCCCAGCCCAAATTCATCAAGGGCCCTCAGATGATGGGTAAATGAAATTGAAAAGTACCCTGCCTGGTAAGCACAGGGTTTGTGCCTTTCTCTGTATTGTGTTTATGTGCAAATGCTGTTAATAACTAGGGCATGAAATAAATACATATATGTGTGTGTATATATATATATATTTTTTTTTTTTTGTTTTGAGACAGAGTTTCACTCTTGTTGCCCAGGCTGGAATACAATGGTGCAATCTCGGCTCACTGCAACCTCCGCCTCCCAGGTTCAAGTGATTCTCCTGCTTCAGCCTCCTGAGTAGCTGGAATTACAGGTGCCCACCACCATGCCCAGCTAATTTTTTTTTTTTTGTAGAGATGGGGTTTCACCATGTTGACCAGGCTGGTCTCGAACTCCTGACCTCAAGTGATCTGCCGACCTCGGCCTCCCAAAATGCTAGGATTACAGGCGTGAGCCACCTCGCCTGGCCAATAAACAGAACTTACAATTGATCTTAAATGCTGGGACTCAGGATTCAATAAGAGTTGATAAATGGGATGTGGACACGTGGTTTTCATCTTTAAAAAGCATGTTTATACAATAGTTTTTGTAGCATTCATATGTTGGATAACTTTAATCATGCTTATTTCACCTCTTTTTTTTTTCTCTTTTAGAGACAGGGTCTTGCTGTTTTTCAGGCTGGAGTGCAATGGCATGATCATAGCTTGCTGCATTCTTGAATTCCCAGGCTCAAGCGATCCTCCCTCCTCAGCCTCCAGAGTAGCTGGGACTTCAGGTGCATGCCATTTTTTTTTTAAATCTTGCAGTAGAGATAGGGTCTCACTATGTTGCCCAGACTGGTCTCAAACTCTTGGCCTTAAGGGATCCTCCCATCTCAGCCTCACAAAGTGCTGAGTTTACAGGTGTGAGCCACCATGCCTGGCCTTTATTCCTTTAAAAGATCTATATTTGTATATATTTCTATGTCCATAATACATCAGGATAGTAATTGTAATTTATAATACATAATATATATCGGGATGCATGTTTACATTCACTCACACATAATGGTACACATGAAAAATAAGTCTGAGGCCTGTTTTTTTTTTTTTTGGAGACGGAGTCTCACTCTGTTGCCCAGGCTAGAGATCTGCACTGGCGCGATCTCGGCTCACTGCAAGCTCCGCCTCCGGGGTTCACGCCATTCTCCTGCCTCAGCCTCCCAAGTAGCTGGGACTACAGGCTCCCGCTACCACGCCCGGCTAATTTTTTGTATTTTTAGTAGAGAGGGGGTTTCACCGTGTTAGCCAGGCTGGTCTTGAACTCCTGACATCGTGATCCGCCTGCCTCAGCCTCCCAAAATGCTGGGATTACAGGCGTGAGCCACCGCGGCTGGCCTTTTTTTTTTTAAATGCAGGGTCTCACTCTTTTGCCTAGGCTGGAGTACAGTGGTGTGATCATGGCTCACTGTAGCCTTGACCTCCTGGCTCAAGTGATCCTCCCACCTCAGTCTCCCAAATAGCTGGGACCATGGGTGTGCACCACCATGCCCAGCTAATTAATTTTTTTTTTAGGGATGGGGTCTTGCCATGTTGCCCAGGCTGGTCTTCAACTTGTGACCTCAAGTGATCCTCCTGCTTTGGCCTCCCAAAGTGCCAAGATTACAGACGTGAATTAATTGCACTGGCCAAGGCCAACTTGTATACTCAGTGGCCCTTGTGGGGACGAGGTAGGAACAAATGCACAAGCCACAGCCATCGGCTGAGAGCTGGGGAGGCTGGTTTGAGGCTGTGGCACTGGCATCGCAGGCCCTGGCAGAGCCCTAGCTTGCTGGCGCTCATACTCAGCACCACAGGCGCTGCCCGGAGTTGGAGGCGGCTGCCTCCCTAGGAGCACAGGCTCTGCATTTACACTGAAGTTCTGGCAGGGGTTCATAGGGTGTATTTTTAAGCCAGAGATGTGGTTCCAAAGGGAGCTATCAGGAGAGACTTCCACAAAATCTCTGCTGCTGCCTGCTTCCCTAACCCTTGCCGTGGCCTCAGTCTTGTTCTCCGTCCAGCTAGCTGTTCTGCCTCCCTAGCTGCAGGAAACGAGGTAATGAGGCAATGGAAAGTCCCCAGAGAGAGGTAACCATGGATGTTCTGCAACAAGTAAGGTAGCAAGGACCTCGTTACATGGCTCCCGCAAAGGCACCGGTCTGCCTGTTGGCTCCAAACCTCTCTAACACCACAAACACTCTGAGCCATTCAGGAGAATGGGGTCTGCAAAACTCTTCCGGGACAGGGTCTGACATGCCTCACTCTTCCCCACAAGATGTGGGCCTTCAGTGTTTTGTCTGCCTAGAATATCACCCAGCATAGCTTTCTCTACTTGCCGACACCTACCCATCACTTCCCAGCCCACTTCTAGTGCCATGGCCTCTGTGAAGCTTGTTTCAGGGGCTCTTTGTCTTGGCTGCCTGAACAGTGGAATTTTCCAGGGCACTTTAAGGCAGAAACTGACATCTGAGGCCCATCCCTGGAGATGCTGGGCTGTTCTGGGCCCAGGCTGGCTTCCCATGTGATTGTAACAGGAATCCTGGGTGGAGACCTTCTGCTCTTATTGGAGCCACCCCTCCTCCACCTCTGGTCACCTGTTGCACCTTTTCTAGATGTGTCATGTGGTACTCATCTTGTTCTGTCTTCCATCACAGTTACTTGTGAATAAAGCATCTTTTTAGCTCTATCCTAACACCCCCCAAGAGCAGGGACTGTGTACAATTCATTTTTTTTTTTTTTTTTTGAGACAGAGTCTCGCTCTGTCACCCAGGTTGGAGGGCAGTGGCGCCATCTCAGCTCACTGTAACCTCTGCTCAAGCGATTCTTCTGCCTCAGCCTCCTGAGTAGCTGGGATTACAGGCACGTGCTACCACGCCCGGCTAATTTTTTATATTTTTGGTAAAGACGGGGTTTCGCCATGCTGGCCAGGCTAGTCTCCAACTCCTGACCTCAAGTGATCCGTTCGCCTCTGCCTCCCAAAGTGCTAGGATTACAGGTGTGAGCCACTGAGCCCGGCCTCCAATTCATCTTTCAACTGTGCACAGGGCCTTCCCCGTCAGGGCCGTTCCCAGAGTTCCAGAATGCTTCCCTTCAATAGACTCCACAGTCTCCGGAAGCAGGGCTGGGGAAGAAACGGCAAACCAGGGATCTTACCTGGGCCTTCCCAGTTGAGACTAAGTCAAAATGGGTTCCCGTGAGTCAGCCTGGCTCATGCAGATGGAAGGCTAACCTCTTTTTAGAAACAACTCGTGCTACCCTCTCCTGTTTCAAAAGAGCTGTCTGGTCAGAATGGTGGTAAGTTACCTTAGGAAGAGAGAGGCGTCGTCCTGTTTGTCAGACAGAGTTAGCAAAGGTTCAATTTAAAAGAAAAATTCTCTAAGAAGTTAAAAATAAAAGTGTGGGGAGATTCCCATGACATCCATTTTTATCTATTTTTCCCTTTCTCTTACATTTCCCAAGAGGCAAACTTTCTAAAACAGTCTTAGTCTTTTCAAGTTTACAAAAGGCAGCACCCAGACTATCTGAATAAAATGACAGGGCGCCCGGGAGAAGAGTGCACCTCTCCCACGCGCACCCTGCCTGGCTCCATGCTGTCGCGGGGTCTAGCTACTCACTCAGCGGGCATTTCGGGAGTTCCAGGAACACAAACCCCAACAAGATCCAATCCATGCCTTCCCGGAGTGCACTGTCCAGGACGTAACCCGGCGAACAAGCGGCAATTACCCCCTGAGGACATGGCTTCATCCGTGCGACAGACACCAAGCGCCTTCCCCACGCCCGTGACCATAAGGTCGTCCCGGCCCTCCTGAAGCGTGAAGCCGGCTTGGAACAGAGCCAAGACACACGGACGCGATGACGGAGGGCACCAAGAACTCGGCCTCAGCGACTGCCACAGGCCCCTCCGCCTGGACTAGCGGCTCCCCTTCCCCGCCCCCACACAGCGGAGGGCGCGGCAAACGCCCACCGCGGACTGTGGGCCTTGGATTCGGATTCGGAAGCGCCTTGCATTCGGATTCGGAGGTTCCTCGGAACGAGGGGGTGGGAGCAGGCGGAATCCAACCCGGGCGGCTTTGCCACCGCGCGCCCGGCCTCCCCGCGACAGGGAAGCGGCGCCATCTCCGCAGGTGCGCGGTGGACGCCTGCATCCCTCGGGCCCGGGGCTGTCGGGCGCTACACATCCACCTCCTGGGCGCACACAGAGGGCCTGGGCCGTGCCGAGTCTCGGCAGGGTTGAGCTTCCCCGCGCGGCGCGGGCTCCGGCACTGCCCGCAGTGCGGGACACGCCCAAGGCTCGGATGGGAGCCGACGCTGCGGGAGCGGCACCTGCAGGGAGCGCCGGGAGCCGAGGCCGCGGCGGGAGGGGCGGGCGCGGCCGGCGGGGATGCGGGGTCGCGGGAGGGGCCCGCAGCCCAGGCCAGAGCTGGGGGCGGCCCGAGGCCCAAGCTGGCCAGCGAGGGTGGGAAGGGCGGACCCGGGTGGGGACCGCAAGCCCCGGGAACAAGCGCGCGAGCGGCGGGTCCCGGCGGCACTCACCGAGCCTGGGCGCCGGGGTGGCGGCGGCCGGCGCGCGGACCTCTCGCGGGGTCCCCTCCCTCGGCCACCCGGGCTCTGCTCCAGCCTCGCAGTGGCGGAAGCACTGACAGCTGCGTGGCCGCCCTGGAGGGGAGGGGGCGTCTGCGACCCGCGACTGGCGGACGCACCGGCCGTTCCGGCTCCAGCAGGGGGCGCGGCGGCTCGCGCGTGCGCAGTCGGCCGCCCCTGCAGGTGCCCGGTCCACCCCCGGCCGCCTCGGCCGCTCCGGCCAGCCCAACCCCGCGCCTGCGCAGTGCCCCGTGCATCTCGCCCTTGCCCGGCAGAGGGCGCGCTGGCTTGCGCGTGCGCAGTCGGCCACCCTGCGAGGACGCGGTTCGCACCCGGCCGCGCGGCAGCCGGTGCCTGCCCACTGCCCTGTGCCAGCGCCTATGTCCAGCAGGGGGCGCGCAGCGGCGGTAGCCGAGCGAGGGCGCGGCGGCTCTGACAGGAATGGCTGTGCGCACGTGCGGTTCACAGCGGTGGAAGTCTTCACATCTGGAAATTTGACTTTGGCCCTTTCTCTATTTCTCCTTATGCACTCTTTCCTTGGGCCCTCGTCACTCCTGGCACCGAGGGAAGCGCTTCCCCGCCTCTGGCCGGGCGCTGAGGCACGACCGAAAGCGAGGCGGCGGCAAGGAACCTTCTGGAATTCGGCCGTCGGGGCAGGCGTCGAGTTTACAGGAAAAGACGCAGTGTCCCAGGATGGGCGGAGTCGCCCTCAGTTGAGGAGCGAGGGAGGCTTCGGGGGTCGCCAGCCGGGTAGGAGTCACCTCAGGCAGGAGGGACCAGGCCTTGTCGGAGTCACCTGGCGGGAGGGTCCAGGGTGGGGCGGGGCCGCCTGTGAGGAGGGTCCGGGGACGGTCGGGGTTACCTGAGGGGAGGGGGTGGCGGGGCCACCTGAGGGGAGAGTGGGGGGGTCGGGGTCACCTGAGGGGAGAGTGGGGGGGTCGGGGTTACCTGAGGGGAGAGTGGGGGCTGGTTGGGGCCACCTGAGGGGAGCGTGAGGGGGTCGGGGCCACCTGAGGGGAGGGTCCGGGGACGGTCGGGGTCACCTGAGGGGAGGGGGGTCGGGGTCACCTGAGGGAGGGGGTCGGGTCACCTGAGGGGAGAGTGGGGGGGTCGGGGTCACCTGACGGGAGAGTGGGGGGTCGGGTCACCTGAGGAGAGTGGGGGGGTCGGGGTTACCTGACGGGAGAGTGGGGGGTCGGGGTCACCTGACGGGAGAGTGGGGGGTCGGGGTCACCTGAGGGGAGAGTGGGGGGGTCGGGGTCACCTGAGGGGAGGGTCGGTGGAGGGTCGGGGTCACCTGAGGGGAGAGTGGGGGGGTCGGGGTCACCTGAGGGGAGGGTGGGGGGGTCGGGGTCACCTGAGGGGAGAGTGGGGGGGTCGGGGTTACCTGACGGGAGAGTGGGGGGTCGGGGTCACCTGACTGGAGAGTGGGGGGTCGGGGTCACCTGAGGGGAGAGTGGGGAGGTCGGGGTCACCTGAGGGAGGGTCGGTGGAGGGTCGGGGTCACCTGAGGGGAGAGTGGGGGGTCGGGGTCACCTGAGGGGAGAGTGGGGGGGTCGGGGTCACCTGAGGGGAGAGTGGGGGGTCGGGGTACCTCCTGAGGGGAGTGGGGGGGTCGGGGTCACCTGAGGGGAGAGTGGGGGGTCGGGGTTACCTGACGGGAGAGTGGGGGGGTCGGGGTCACCTGAGGGAGGGTCGGTGGAGGTCGGGGTCACCTGAGGGGAGAGTGGGGGGGTCGGGGTCACCTGAGGGGAGGGTCGGTGGAGGGTCGGGGCACCTGAGGGCGAGTGGGGGGGTCGGGGTCACCTGAGGGGAGAGTGGGGGGTCGGGGTCACCTGAGGGGAGAGTGGGGGGGTCGGGGTACTGACGGGAGGTGGGGGGTGGGGTCACCTGAGGGGAGGGTCGGTGGGGGTGGGGTCACCTGAGGGGAGAGTGGGGGGGTCGGGGTCACCTGAGGGGAGAGTGGGGGGGTCGGGGTCACCTGAGGGGAGAGTGGGGGGTCGGGGTCACCTGAGGGGAGAGTGGGGGTGTCGGGGTCACCTGAGGGGAGAGTGGGGGGTCGGGGTCACCTGAGGGAGGTGGGGGGTCGGGGTCACCTGAGGGGAGAGTGGGGGGTCGGGGTCACCTGAGGGGAGAGTGGGGGGTCGGGGTCACCTGAGGGGAGAGTGGGGGGGTCGGGGTTACCTGACGGGAGAGTGGGGGGGTCGGGGTCACCTGACTGGAGAGTGGGGGGTCGGGGTCACCTGAGGGGAGAGTGGGGAGGTCGGGGTCACCTGAGGGGAGGGTCGGTGGAGGGTCGGGGTCACCTGAGGGGAGAGTGGGGGGGTCGGGGTCACCTGAGGGGAGAGTGGGGGGGTCGGGGTCACCTGAGGGGAGAGTGGGGGGTCGGGGTCACCTGAGGGAGAGTGGTGGGGTCGGGGTTACCTGACGGGAGAGTGGGGGGGGGGCCTGAGGGGAGGGTCGGTGGGGTCGGGGTCACCTGAGGGGAGAGTGGGGGGTCGGGGCCACCTGAGGGGAGGGTCGGTGGAGGGTCGGGGCCACCTGAGGGGCGAGTGGGGGGGTCGGGGTCACCTGAGGGGAGGTGGGGGGTCGGGGTCACCTGAGGGGAGAGTGGGGGGTCGGGTTACCTGACGGGAGAGTGGGGGGGTGGGTCACCTGAGGGGAGGGTCGGTGGAGGGTTGGGGTCACCTGAGGGGAGAGTGGGGGGTCGGGGTACCTGAGGGAGGGGGGGGTGGGGTCACTGAGGGGGGGGGGGGCGGGTCACCTGAGGGGAGGTGGGGGTCGGGGTCACCTGAGGGGAGAGTGGGGGGTCGGGGTCACCTGAGGGAGAGTGGGGGTGTCGGGGTCACCTGAGGGGAGAGTGGGGGGCGGGGTCACCTGAGGGGAGGTGGGGGGTCGGGGTCACCTGAGGGGAGAGTGGGGGGGGTCGGGGTCACCTGAGGGGAGAGTGGGGGGTCGGGGTCACCTGAGGGAGGGTCGGTGGAGGGTCGGGGCCACCTGAGGGGAGAGTGGGGGGGTCGGGGTCACCTGAGGGAGAGTGGGGGCTGGTCGGGGCCACCTGAGGGAGGGTCGGTGGAGGGTCGGGCCACCTGAGGGAGAGTGGGGGGTCGGGGTCACCTGAGGGGAGAGTGGGGGTCGGGGGTCACCTGAGGGAGAGTGGGGTGTCGGGGTCACCTCAGGGGAGAGTGGGGGGGTCGGGGTTACCTGACGGAGAGTCGGGGGGTCGGGGTCACCTGATGGGGGTCGTGGAGGGTCGGGGCCACCTGAGGGAGAGTGGGGGGGTCGGGGGCCACCTGAGGGAGAGTGGGGGGGTGGGGTCACCTGAGGGGAGAGTGGGGGGGTCGGGGCCACCTGAGGGGAGAGTGGGGGGGTCGGGGTCACCTGAGGGGAGAGTGGGGGCTGGTCGGACCACCTGAGGGGAGGGTCGGTGGAGGGTCGGGGCCACCTGAGGGGAGAGTGGGGGTCGGGTCACCTGAGGGGAGAGTGGGGGTGTCGGGGTCACGTGAGGGGAAAGTGGGGGGTCGGGGTTACCTGAGGGGAGAGTGAGGGGGATCGGGGCCACCTGAGGGGAGGGTCCGGGGAGGGTCGTGGTCACCTGAGGGGATGGTCCAGAGAGGGTTGGGGTCACCTGAGGGTCGGGTCGGGGAGGGCTGGAGAGGGTTGGGGTCACCTGAGGGTCGGGTCGGGGAGGGCTGGGGAGGGTCGGGGTCACCTGAGGGGAGGGTCTGGGGAGGGTCCGGAGAGGGTTGGGGTCACCTGAGGAGAGGGTCCGGGGAGGGTCGTGATCACCTGGGGGAAGGGTCCGGGGAGAGTCGGGGTCACCTCGCGGGAGCTGGCGGAACGGGGTCACCTGCAGGGAGGGTGCAGGGCGGGGGCGAGTCGCCTGCGGGGAGGCTCACCTTAGGCGGTCCCAGGGACGGGTCGCGGTCTAACGGGAGGGGGGTGGGGAGGTGGGTCGGGTGCAGATCGGGTTGTGGGACTGGGTCGCCCCAGGCAGAGGAGGCTGGGAGGGGCGGGCCCCCTTGGCGTGGCGGGGAGAGGTGGGGTGAGGGACTCCCGGGCTCGAGCGTGACGGCGGGCGCCGTGCGGGGCCGACAGTTGCCATGGGCCAGGGGCAATGGGTCTCTGACCGCCGCCAGCGGCCGGACCACAGTGAGGTGCGTCCGTGGTCCCGGCGCCCCGGGTGAGGGAGGGCTGTTGCGCGTCCTGCCGCTGCGAGCAGCCTGCGACCCGCACCGCCAGCTCCGCGCCCAGCCAGCCGCCGGCACCACAACCCGACGGCTGGGGACCTAATATAACGCAAGGGGCCGGGGGCGGAAATCTCCCACCCCCAAGAATTCTGATGGACTAGGGTTTGAGCGGCTCGTTCCCCATTTTAGTGTGTACATAGCACCTTTTACTCTGATGATGTTCTGCGTAGCCCATTCTACGAGCAAAGGGACATCGTCAGGTTCATGGCTAGATCCAGGGTCCTAGAGTGCCTGGGGTAGAGGAGGCTCGTGCTAAATAATTTGTTGAATGGAATCACAGGCCTGGCTTCTGATCTTGGCCCACTAATTAATGTAGACATGTCATTTTATCTTTCTGAATCTCAATTTCCTATCCTTAAAATTGAAATTATAATAATAGTAGTTAATAATAGCAAACTCAAAAGTTTTTTGTTGATGTATTCTTTTCTTTTTTGGGTCAAATGAGAAAATGCAAGTTTAAGTGCTTACTACAATAACTGACACATAAATGCCAAATAAATGGTAGCATAATGTGAGTATGGCTAGGAATTTACATAGCCTAGTCTCCATAATGAGCATATAGGAAAAAAAGAAAACCCCCAAACAATTGAATGCAGTTACAGGATGGGTGGGGGAGTAGATTATCAATGTGCTGCAAACATTCTAAAACCCCCCTTTCCCCGTCAATCTTCACAGACTGCAACACTTCAACCAAAATGTCTTCCCCATTCTCTACTTCTTCCCAGAAAGTGATGTGAACTTGGCTGCTTGGCCCTCTCTTCACCCGGCCATATCCTCAATCATTTTTCTTTCCAAAATCAATCCTTGCCATTTCCAAATTGAATGTGTCAGACCTTGAACGTTTTTCCGGCGTTTTCAAAACCTGATCCCAATTCTCGGTAACCAAATCCAGTACCAGAACTGGCTGACTCAGAATTTACTTTAGATGGAAGATAGGGTAGGAATATTGGAAGAAAGATGATCTCACAGATCAAGACAGACAATTGCAGGGTACTAATTTTATATCTTTTTTCTTAACCCTGTCAGGTTGTTAATTATTATAATCACAATCATGAGGTGGGAGGGTGTGAAGGCTACTGGGAAAAGTGTCTTATACACAAAATTTTCAGGCTCTGGACTGTTTAAAAACAGTTGCTCATAGTGAGCTGGACCCTTTTGATGCCCTTCAACAATCACTGGATAATTCATCACCTTGTGCTCAAGGCCCATTATTGAAAAAATAAAACAAATCTAGATGCTCCACCTAGTCATTTCTCTCCAGATGGAGGCCCAGATAAGGTCATAATTTCTTCAAAGTTACCCAGTAGAGCTGAGATGACAACCTCCGTGTTCAGGCTCCTGGATTCTACCCCTCTCTTGTATGGAAACACTCACATCCATATACCATGAATACATGCTGAGAAATTGAAGGATACACTCCTTGAAGTTACAATGGTTCAAACATTTCTTTCTTTTCTCTCAAGATTGATGGTAAACATTATAGTGGATGGTGGCACTCAT